CTCATGGTGGCTGCTTAGCTCCAACAACTGCTTCCTGTTGGGGCCCTAAGAGGCCCGGGTGGGGAGGGGAGGAGTGGCTGGGAGGGGAGGGGCGCGAAGAGGCTGGGGGGGCGGCCCTCGACCTGGGTGACCTTGAGTTGGCCACACCCACCCAGTCACATGGCCACCTAGCCACGCCCACCTAGCCGGTCATTAGGCAGATCTTATTAGTGGTCCACGGGATATAAAATTATGAATTTAGTGTTCCCTGAAGTCCGAAAGGTTGGTGACCCCTGGGCTAGTCAGTAGAAGCTCAGATTTTATTAAAGCATGCTTTAACTCCGAAGCCCATTTTCATTTTGATCCGATGTTTCATTCCATTCCACGTTGTCATTTATAGTTTTATGTGCCTTTCTGACAAATTAATTAGTAGCTCCTCCATTATCCCATAACTTCTAGCACAATGAGAACCAACTTCCCTTGAAAACTGGGCCCTGAATATAAAAATAACAGGAAAGTTTTACTGTTGTAAAAGCGTACTAAAGATGAATAAAAGGCACATTATTCCATAAGGGGAAAGCAGATTGGAAATAAAATAGGATGGCTGCTTTGAGGTCCTATCAGTTTTAATGATTTAAGTATTATTTTTTCAAACGCAATCAATTTGTCCCCCCTAATAATTAAGGTATGTATCTTTGGGAAACATAAATGTCATTTAAGTATTATTTCACCCCCCCTCCGAACGCAATCAATTTATCCTCCTTAATAATTAAGATATGTACCTTGGGGAATCATAAATGTCATAGTGCAGAAAAAGAGGAGGCTGAAACCTATTTTTTTTTTAAAAAAAATATCTAAATGTGTTAGCTGCTTGATTAAGCTATTTAAGGGCTTCTCACTATGCAAATAACTTTAAAAGTGAAATGCTGAATCGGATTAATTTCTTTCCGCTTTTTGTTTTTTTGCAAAACCTGAACTCTTCTCTGATTAAAAATGTAGCTCCTGGGTTATTTTTAATTTGTCACTTCTCTAACTTCTCTCGCTTACAGACGGAGAAGAACGTGAGCGTGGTTCTCCTCAGTGAAATTGTTTGGGAACTTCTTCGCCCAAGCACAGGATGCCTTGAGCCACTGCCATTATATTTTCCAGATTACAGCATAGGTAAGGACAAAAAAAGAAAGAAAGAAAGAAAAAAAGAAAGAAAGCCTACGGTATCCTAAAGGTCGTTTTCAGGAAGTAACTGGACTTTCTTGGTTTTTTTCATTGAAGACGTTTCCCTCCCCCTCAAGAAGCTTCTTCAACTCTGACTGGATGGCGGGGAACGGAAGGATTTAAATAACCAGCCGTCTGCAAGGAATATGCCAGTGTCAGCTAGCGACCCAGGGGGAGAGTCTTCTCTGTGGGAGCGCCTTCCCTCTGGAATGAGCTGCCCCCAGAGCTTCATATAATCCCCGACCTCCGGTCCTTCCGGTGCGCCCTAAAAAGTTGGCTTTTCCAGCAAGCCAGCCTGGCCTGAACAGAATAAAATAAATAATTG